GGTGAGGCAGGAGGATCGCTGTGAGTTTGAGACCAGCCTGGGCTACATAGTGAGCTCCAGGTCAGTCTCAACTACATAGTGAGACCCTGTCTCAAAAAAACAAACAAATAAACAAACAAACAAACAAAATATATATATATTTCATATACAGTTTTAGTTTAAACAGCTGCAGTAACAGAAAAGTATGTTGTCATGATTCCCTTTTTCCTGGTTCCTGCTACCAGACATTATTTTGCTTACAGGCAAATCTACTAAGAGCTGAATTTTACTTGTTAAATGCAAGTGAGACACAGCAAATGTCTTCTCCATTTTATTTTATTTATTTATTTAATTTTATTTTTTTGGTACCAGGGGTCAAACTCAGGACCTTATGCTTGCAAGGCAGGCATGGTGCCACTGAGCTAAATACCTGGCCCTCCTCCATTTTAAAGATGAATAATCTGATAATGTGTGTTCAAGATCTCACAGCTCTTTTGTAAATTAACACTGGGAAAAAATTTCTAATTCATCATAACGTCTATGAGTTAGTTCATTTGTGTTTATTTCTTTTATTCAATTATTTATAAACATTAACTATTGATGGCACTGAGAAATTCTTTGCAAAGATGTTAAAACATCCCAGAATTCTAAATACCAAAGTTTCTTTTCTCTTTCAATAAATTGTTTTAAAGATGATTTAAAGCCTAATTCTTACATACAAGGCTGAATTCTTCTAGTAATATTCAGACAGGTTTATTTTGTTGTCACTTTGTTTTCCTCTCATATTAAAATGCAGTATGGGGTTACCTCCCTAGGTTAGGGATTGGCCACTATTTTGCTAAGGAGGGGGGATCATTTACAAGAAGCTGCAGCACACCTTTTGGCTTCCAGTCACAGAAGCCTCACTTCACATGAAATTCTGCCACAAAATACTGATACAAAAAAATTATAATTAAAAAATTATGGAAGTATGCTGCAGCTAATAATTACAAGAGGGACAGATTTTCAAAACCTTTCTTCCTACTCCCAAGGTCAGTAGGCTGGTGGAGCTTCATTCTAACTTCCTTTTAACTCTGGGGCCTTTATACTTGCTCTGAGCAACTAAAGCAATAAACATCTTTCAATTTCCATGATCATCTGGATGCAACTTGTACTCCAGAGCTCTAACCCTAAGCAATGCAGGAGCCTTCCTCAAAATATGAGAAGCAAGTCATCCAGGGCAGGAGCACAAAATGCACAACAACAAAATGTTCTTATTTTTCTCAACTGTTTTCATTTCTTTCCTGGACTTTCTCTTCTGTCTGCTAGACCAGATACTGGTCACATACTAAGCACTCAAAACATGCTTCCTAACAAAAACATTAGGCCCTAAGTATAAAGGAAATTAAGCCAGTAGTGAGCTGAAAGAAAGGAAATGAGGACAGCTATTCTTCTGGCGCAGGCCATAAACACTCAAGGCTGCAGTGCACCCATATTCTGTCATCAGCAGGAGACAAAAGAACCACTGACAAAAACCTGCGGTTCTTGTGATGTCTGTATGCTGTTTGTAAGGCTGATCTAAGTCATAATGCTAAGTAAACCCTGTAAGAATTAACATCCCAGATATGAAAAATTATTTTCATCTGCTTTGAGTAGGATAATACAGTGTTTGCAATCTTCATATAATTTTCCTTCAACCAGAGACATTATCTTGTAATAATACCCAAAAACCAACAACACACACCTGTTCTGCGGGCTGGGCTGCTGCTGTGTTCAATGATGGATGATCCTTCAAATGAGTATTTGCTTCCACAGAAGAATTAACTCTCTATTAAAATGGACAAATATATTCATGGATTATAAAAACTTACAACTCATATTAGTACAAATGAATCCTGTTACTAGAACAACTTCTGTGTCCAACTATTCATCAGCTCAAGCTGCATTAGGCTTTTCTGCAGCAATTACAGCACTTTGTCTTCATGAAAATAAATGCCATGTGTTATTCTTGGCACTGCATACTTTTTCCTCCCTCAACTTTGTAAACTCTGCCAGAGTAGCTGTGTGCTTTTCTGCAAGTCATTCAACTTCTCTGATCCACAGTTTCCTCAATGATAAATGAGGAGGCTGGGACTCTTTCATTTCTAAGAACCCTCCTATTTCAACACTCTGGAGATTTCATTCATGGACTCTACTAATAATTTAACATTTTTTAACCTAGACATATGGAAGTTCAGAGGTCTGTGCAGAGACCCAGAGTGTCATTCATTCCATTTAAAACTGTATTTTTCTGTGGCCTTATCTATTCATCCCAACACAAGGTTTCCATTTACAGGTGGGCCTACAGAATCTGGCTATAGAATTAATTTAACTCATTGCTTATAGGATGATGGTACAATATCTTGGTAGTGCCATATGCCATTTCATCTTCAAGAAAGTACTGGTTATACACAGACATGTCCTAATTTCTCTCTCTCTCTCTCTCTGGAAACAACTAACTGAATGCTAACATCAATACCTCTGCTTGGTTAGGAATGGAAACTGCAATCTAAACTTGTTCCCCAAATTAGACTCTCACCTTTCTCGAGAGTAAGACATTACCCTTTCCCCTCATCTGTATCTTCCCCTTGACAGAGGACACACCAGCATGTGGCAGTCTAGGCATGTCAAAGCCACAGCAACACTATGCCCAAGCTCTGCACCACAGTCTGATCAGCACTGCAAATTCCAGCTGCCAAACAGACACTTGGTCCTAAAGGGCTCCGTGTGACTTTTGTAGCAACTCTTTTGTACTGTACAACATACAAAAAGCAAACAAATATGATCAACTAGATTACCTGGGCCTTGACCAAGAGGGGCTTCAAACGCTCCAGAACTGCCGCCTCTACTTTGTCTGCAAACTGGGTAGCAGAAACACTAGAAATAAACAGTTCATGTCAAAAGCCAAGTTTGCATATGGTTCTAACTACTCCAGATGAAGAGAAATCAAATGATCATAAAAACCACAATGCTTCACTAATTGTAATGACCATACAGATCCCCTGGGAATCTTGTTAAACTATAGGTTCTGATTCACTTGGTCCCAAGGATGCCTAGATTCTGGGTTTCCAACAAGTTCACAGGTGATACAACAGTACTGGGCTGGACTGTACTTTGTGTATTTTTTTGTTGTTGTGGTGGTTGTTTTTGTTTTGTTTTGTCTTGTTTTGTTTTGTTTTCTTGGTACCGGGAATTGAACTCAGAACCTTGCCTTTGCCAGGCAGGAGTGGTGCCACTGAGCTACATCCCTGGCCCCAGGACCCTACTTTGTGTATGAGGGCTCAAGACACATCTGGACAAGTAAGTTATGCTGTAAGAATACTTTTTAAAATAATGGTTGCAACTGGGCGTGGTGGCACATGCCTGTAATACCAGCACTCAGGAGTCTGAGGCAGGAGGATCACTGTGAGTTTGAGTCCAGCCTGGGCTAAATAGCGAGTTCTAGGTCAGTCTCAACTACGTAGTGAGACCCTGTCTCAAAAACCAAAAAAACAAAAATAAATAAAAATAAAAATAATGGTTGCCTCTGAACAGACTCAATCAAATAAACTAATTTTGTTCATTTTAAAACCCTCACTAAAACAACAGTAGAATTAGATATAAAACCACAAAGACAAGGAGGAAAAAAATGGTGCTGGAAGACAAAGGACAAAAGTGATAACCAATTTAGCTGATCCAAAAAAACTGAATTCTAGGCCAGGAATGGGGGAAGTGAGGACCACATACTTTGTACTGCTGACCCAATCAGGCAAGTGACTGGCAGTACCAGGTATTTCTAGGCCTGAGGAAAGCTGGGAGGGGGTGGCTTAAATGGAAGACAAGAGTCAAACAGCATTTGGAAAGTTAGATCCCTAGGTTCCCTGTCCAACTTCATTCAGTTTGACAACCGCCTCTCTCCAATTCCAAGTTTCATTGCTCTTTCTCTGAAGGGTCTCTAGTCTACAAGTAACCAATCAGAATTGAGGTGGTAGGTACCATACTGAAAAGAGGGAGGCTGAATGCTGAACAGAAAGGCCCATAGCCCCCTTCCCAACTTAAGTTTCTAAGGCACCTGCGTTCAGATCCTTATCCTCTGGGCAAAAGATCAAAAACATTTTCTCTGGACAGTCTGACCCACATGAAAGCTAAGAGCGAAAGACCAACAAGAGGGGGCTCAACAGTCCATCCAGATGGCCCAAGGGCAGCTCAAGTTCAATAATCCTTTCATCAGCTGCAGCTGGAATAGACAGATATTCATAAGGGGAAAAATGACCTGTGATCAGTATCTCATCTCATATATAACAATTAATTCAAAGTGGATCATAGACGTCAAAGCTACAAAATATTTAGAAGAAAATATAGAGTATCTTTGAGTTCACAAAAAGACCTATTAAAAAGTGACCAACTGTTCTTAATCTAAAACATCTAGTCACCGTTAAGAAGATATATAGAGGCAATCATTATGTACTACAAACACACACTGATAAAAATATAGAAAATACATAGGGCAAGCCCCGTACTGGGAGGGAGTATCTTTTGTACATATATCTGACAAGGTGCTTCCAACTAGAAAATATATAGTGGTGCCTTAATTCACAAACTTAATCCTTTCCACTCTTTTGGTCACAAACCAAACTGGATGAGAACTGAATCAAATTCGGTGGTTAGGTGCAGTGTTGACCTTATGGGGAAATTTGACTTGGTTCTCATCCAATTCAGTTGGTGACCAAAATCGTTCATGAACTCAGGCACCACTGTAAAGAATTCAAATCAATAATTAAAAATCAAAACACCAACAAAAAATGGGCAGAAGACTTGAATGGATATTTCACAACAGGCACTAGAAAAAGTTCTCATCATCATTAGTCATCAAGGAAATGCAAATAAAATCACAAAGAGATAGATACTACCACATTCCCACCAGAATGGCTAAAGTTAAAAAGACTGGTAAGGTCAAACGTAAGCAAGGATGTAAAACAACTAATGAAGAATTCCCGTGTATTGCTGATAATAGTATAAGTGTTACAACTACTCTGAAAAGTTTGTATGGCTAGCTTTGTAAAGTTCCTATCCTAATACCTAGAAATCTAACTCTTAAATTACTTATCCAAGAGAAGTGAAAGCAGATTTCTATAACTTTATTCATACTAACTAAAAATGGGAAACAATCCCAATGGTAAGTAAGGAGGAGGATAAACAGATTGTGGTATATTTCTGTAATGGACTATTATCCAGCAACAAAATGGAATGAACTATACTGATACAGGCACAATGTGTGAATCTTCAATATCTTGAACAAAAGAAGCCAGACACAAAGGACTAGATCCTGACAATTCTGTATTTGAAGTTCATGAGGAAGGAAAACTATTTTATGGGGACAGATATCAAAACATGGCTGCCTCTGTAAGGGGTGAAGTAGTATGAGGTAGGGAAATGGCCAGGAAGAACATGTAGGAACATTCTAGGTTGATGGACATTTTCCTTACCTTGACTGGGGCTTTTGTCAATGCATAATGCATTTGTCAAAACACACTGAACTGTACCTTTAAGATTTCTGCATCTTACTATATGTAAAGTATATCAAAAGACAACATTTAAAAAAAACCCTAACACTAAATACTGATTCCAATAGACTTTTAAATCAGTAGTCACTACATTTAAACACCAGAAGATTAGTGAAGGACTACTAGCTGAGAGTGAAAAGGGAGACACTAGGGCAAAGTAGGGAAAAGCTGCTGTTAATATATCTAGAGAATGCAGTGTATCCCTACATAGGAGACTAATATGTATGAGAACGTTGGAGAATGTAATAGAATTCTTAAGACTTTATAACCCTGTAGCAGAAACGACAAACCTAACAGGTTAAATAGTAAGTGTGAGAAAATCATTTACTGGGGTGGCAGGTGGGGGTACAGGTGAGGAAGGGAGAAAGAAAGAAAATAGGAAAAAAACAGGTAAGAAAATCAGGGGCTTTGTGATGATGGAAAGGTGATCTGGGAATGGGGGAAGATAAGACAGTGGAAAGGGGAAAGGGAAGTAGTAAGGATCAAGATGCAATAAGTACACATGGGCCGGGGATTTAGCTCAGCGGTTCGGTGGCCTGCCTTGCAAGCACAAGGACCCGAGTTCAATCACCGGTACCAAAAAAAAACAGCAATAAGTACACATATCACTATATATATGTATATCTATGTATATATATATTTGTGCATGTATGTGTATGTATATGTGTGTGTGTGTGTATATATATATTACTATCCCATAATGCATATATTATGCATTGCAGACATATACTAACAAAAAAATTTTTTAAAGAATGAGGAAAAAAAAAAGGGAAAGGGAAAAAGAAAATCAGAGGGCCAATCTTGGAAGTTCAACATCAAACAACAGGAGTTGCAGAAAGGGAGAAAAAGAGAAAAGAGGCCAAGAAAAAAAGTGTAAAATAAAGCAAGAACACTAGAATTGAAGCAAATAAATTACTAGATGAAGAAAAGGTCAACTGAGGAATGAAAATATAGGCATATCAAGTCCTACTGCTATAAAATTTTAGAACACTGGGGAAAAGAAGAGTATAAATTTCTACAAAAGATTCAAAAGTAAGATTCAATTTCTCACTGAAAGCAAAACAATGAAATGATGCTCTAAAAATTTTGACCTGACTTTCCCTTTTAAAGAATAAATACATTTTCCTCTATTATTCCTGTTAAGTACAACTAAGAACCCTATGTATTAAACCAACAGTAGAGGTTTTGGAAAAGTAAAATAAAAGCAGACCAGTTGGGGACTCTGGGTCCCAAAGAAAGATATGTTGCTGAGTTCCCTGGGTTTTCTGTTTTGTCTCATATATCCCCAAAGTAGATACTGAAAAAGTCACCAACCCAGAAATGCAAATGGATACATACATACATACATACATACATACAATAAAAGCTCACTTGCTTTAGCCAAAGGTCCAAGAAAGGGCAACCTAGGAAGATGGAAAAATTTCAGAAAATAGCCAAATACACCCAAACACCACAAAGAAACTTGTGCCACATGTGAGCAAAGACAGAGCGGAGACCAAATAAGCACATTAAAAGAATGTTCAATATTATCTTATTAGGAAAATACATTATTAGCTATGAGAGAAGTATAAATTAAAACTACGAGGAGCCAGGAGCCAGGCATAGTGGCACATGCCTATAATACCATCTACTCAGGAGGCTGAGACAGGAGGATCACAAGTTTGAGGCAACACTGGGCAATTTAGTGAAACACTATTCCAAAATTTAAATAAATGGATAGATAGACAGACAGACAGACAAGACACACTGGGGCTGTAGTTCAGTAGTAGAGTACTTGTCTAGCATGCACAATGCCCTGGGCTCAATCCCCAGCATAAGAAAAGAAGAGAGGGAAGGGAAGGGGAGTGGAGTAGAGTGAAGAGTAGGAGAGGAGGAGAGGGATTCACAGGAGACACTGCAACATAGCAACACAGCAACACCACCCAATGCTGGCAAAATGCGGAACAACTGGATCCCTCAAAAACTCTTGGTGGAGGCTGAGGCAGGAGGATCGCTGTGAGTTCAAGAACAGCCTGGGCTACATAGTGAGTTCCAGGTCAGTCTCAACTACATAGTGAGACCCTGTCTCAAAAAACAAACTAACAAACTCCTGGTGCACCAAGTATGGTGCTGCATGCCTATAATCCCAGCACTTAGGAGGCTGAGGCAGAAATATTGCCATGAATCTGAGGCCAGCCATGGTGACTTCAAGGCCAGCCTGAAATATAGAAGGAGACCCTGTCTCAAAAAACCAAAACCAAACCAAAACAAAAAAACGGCTGGTGGGAACAGAGAGAACCACTCTAGAAAATCTGGCTGTTTTGTACAAAACCAAAACATACAATAAACATAAAACCCAGCAATTGCCCTCTTAGGCATTTATTCCAGACAAATGAAAACTTACCTTCATACAAATGCTAATGTTAGCAGAAACTTAATTTATAGTATCTCCAAACTGGAAACAACCCAGACGTCCCTCAGATATTTAACCAGGTGAATGGTTAGGTAAATGATAGTATGCCCACAGACTGCGACACAGCAACAAAAAGAATGAACAAATGATAGATGCAAAGACATGGATGAATCTCCAGAAAATTACATAAGAGGGGGAAAAAAAGTCAATCCCAAAAAGTTATATACTACACATTTCCACTTACATAACACTCTTGAAATAAAAAGCATAAACAGGGAGAACAGATTAGTGGTTGCCATGGGTTACTTAGCCAAGCAGTAGGTGGGGACAGAAGAGAAGTAGGTGTGGCTCTTCAAGGGCAACAATATGGATCTGTGTGGTGATGGAAATGTTCTCAACTACATCCGCATCAACCAGGTGCACCTTCATTTTGTCAGTGTTAACATGCTGGTTGTAGTACTGTGTTACAGTTTCCCAAAATGTTACACTGGGGAACTGGGTAAAGGGAACCTAAGATTTCTCTGTATTATCACAACTTCATGTGAATGTACAATTATCTAAAAATATTTTTTAAATTTCCAATAAAATAAACTTCTATTCTGAATTCTAAATCCAGTAACACTCTCAGCAAATATGAGAGCAGAATAAAACATTTTTAGACTTGAAAGGTGTGAGAGATTTATTTCCCATTTATCCTTTCTCAAGAAGCTAAATTAGAATGCGCTCTATCAAAAAAAGCAAGTAAACCAGAGAAGAAGACAGTGAAGTATGGAAAACCACACAAGCAGCAAGCCAAGCCTGGGTAAGTGGCTCATCTGGCCCTGATTCTGATAAGTTTCCTGCTCTTCCTCTGTGGCCACAAAGGGTAGCCGGAAGGAGTGGAGAGGCGGAGCATGACAAGTCAGCCCATTTCCCCAATCAGGCTCTTTCTACAAGTCCAGTGGACCTGGTTATCTACAACCCCGCCCCCACCAAGAGGTAAGCTCTGCACCTGCCAGGACTCACTCAAGACCTTGCTTGTTGATTTCCTGGGATGGGCTCCAAAAAACTCCCAAGGAAGTTTAAGTCAGACTGTAACTGAGACTCTGTACAACCTACTTTCCCCCAAGAGTCTTCATCTAATGCCAGCAACACTGCCTTCCCTTGTTCTGCTGGATTTGTGGATCTCAATTTTCAAAATTTAAAAAGATATGAATGATAAATGTAACTATACTGTATACTTAAAAAGTACCAACAAACTGAAAAAAAAAAGTATACTGGTAGAGGGCCAGGGATTTAGCTCAATGGTACCATCACCTGCCTTACAAACATAAGGTTCTAAGTTCAATCCTGGTACCAAAAAAACAAAAAACAAAAAACCCAACATACTGGTAGGGATGAATACATAGGTGGTAGATTTATGAAGAAAGGTAATGAGAAGATAACACAGGAATCAGGTGGTGGCTGCCTCTGGGGGAAAGATGGGGATGCAGCTGGGGAAGGACACAGTGGATGCATCTACAGTTAGTGGCTATCGTCTATTTCTTGGTGGTACCTGTGTATTCATTTTTGTAATATTGTGGATTATATATGTGAATTTAGAATGTCTTTCTATATGTATATTTATTTTTTTAAACAGAAAGATCACACACAGAGATAAACAGAGTACAGAGGATTATCCTTTTGCTATACGGTCCAAAGACAAGTGGGAAGGAGTCATAGGGAATATTTTAGCACAATCTAATATCACACCTTCTAACAGCTACACATGACCAAGGGATGGACTCCTTGAGACAGTATGAAGTACCTCTTCACAGAGAGTGTGTGTGCACACCGACAGTCACTTTGGGGAAACGTTACAGGGGCCTCGGAAGAATCAGCTGGAGAAAAAAGGTCCTTCGAATCCTAAGATTCTATGATGGTATCACTTGAAATCTTAACTATGAACAAAACATCTTGGCCTTCAAATGACAGAACCACAGCCTTATAACTGGGATTGAACACTGTTATGAATGGTGAAAGAAAACACAGATGTTTCAATAAGTGTTTTGTTTATCTGACTGCAGGGTGTGTGATTATCAAAGCTGAAAAAATGAGCCAACTATAGCAGTAACAGCAACAGCACCTCTTCTAAATCATAAGAAACTTCATGCCTATATTGAGGGGGGTAATACTCTAAGGGAATGAATGGAAAACAATCAACCTCAATTGAAAACTTTAGACTACACTGAAGCAAAATGTGAAACCAAAGTATGTATACGTTCACCCATAAGTAGAACATCCACATCATACTGACCTTCTCTGCCCCCTAGCAGGACTGGCAATTGGCTAGGAAAAAGAATCTTTGAGATCATATAAACAAATAAGCAAATATAAGAAAAAAGCTGTGCCCAAATTATAGTTTTTTCCCCCATTCACCTTCAAACTCCACACAAAGGAAACATTTTCTAGCAAAAATATGATAACACTGCAGATGCGCATTCGCTCATGCCTGCATTCACGTATTCATGTAATGAGGCTAAGCCTAAACAGTCCTAGTTAGTTGTTAAAACTATTTGGATTAATTATAACAGACCAGCATCTCCTATTCTTTCTCAGAAGCAAATACATACCTTAGTTTGTGGATTCTATCGATTTCTTCACTTTTTAATTTATCCAATTCCTTTGTTCGCCTAGAAGTTTCAGCGTCAAGCCACTCGAGCCTAGAGGACAGAACAAAGAGTCACCCCAACAGTGCTCAAAACAGACTAAGGATTCACTTGGGTTCTAGCCTTGGCTCAGCTGTATGTTTCTTAGGTGACTTCACAGCCTTTTCAGGAGGCAGAAAGCCAAGAAGCATAAAAGTGTGGCTGAAGCTGAACAAGCCCAATTGGTTGTTAAGAAAGCTAATGACACAGAATATAGCCTGCTTACCTTTTTCTGCCTCAGCAACAAATATTTACCTCTGTTTTTGCATTCTGCCCATTTCTTTGGCTTTTAAATCTTCTAGTTCCTTCAGTCTTTTAGAAGACTCAGCATCAAGCCAAGTGAGCCTAACAGATAAGAGTCAAATTAATTATGCTGCAATGCTGCAGGGCCTCATTACCACAGAGACAGCAAAAGGGAGAGATCCCCTCCCTGACACGAATCCTTGCTCCATTAAAGACCAAGAAATGTAGCTGTACCGATAAAAGCATTCCATGTCATGTTTTCTATACAAATAAATTTATATACAAAGGCACTTTGAACTAGTATGCAGAACAAAAAGAAGCTACTTATAAGCGTTCTCATTTCAAGACATCGCTGTACTTAGGAGTTCTTGTTAGACTAAAACAGAGCCCTAGCTATATCTTCAAGTCTAGACAAAGAAATGGATACCCATGTAGGTATAATGAAGTTAAAAAAAAAAAAAAAAAAAGCTGCCTCTAGACAATGTTATTGTATACAAAAGGGGTTTGGTTCAGGATATGTGAATATTATCAAATTATTTAAAGATTGCACTTTATTTTTTAAGTGCTAGGGTCAATCCTGGTTTCAAGCATGCTGGGGAAGTGCTCTACCACTAAGCTGTATTCTCAGCCCTAATGACTCCATTTTATTTGTGCTTTCCCATAATTAGAAGATAATTTCAGCCAAACAAATATGCAGCGACCTGTTTGCACTGCTCTCTTCCTTTGGAATGTTCTCAACATAGCCCCCATACTTAAATCCTGCCTGCACAAGTCCTAGCTTAACTTCTCCCTCCAGGAAACCTGGATTTTCACAGCAAGAAGTAACCTCTCTGCCTTCTAAATTCTCTGTTCTAAGAGTACATGTAGTATCCTATCTTAAATTACAGCTAATTACATATTTTCCCTGCTGACTGTAAAAAAGCAGGGGGCTAGGATTATGTTTTACTTGCCCCCCTTTGTTTAAGGTTGTCACAGAACCCACAATGGTGCCATACACAAAAATAGCCAATTAACATACATATAATTTTTGAATAAATGAAATCAGAAATAAAAGAGAGGCTCGTGCAAGTTGTATAACTTAATAGAAAAGTTTAATACTTTACATTTTAAATAACCAACTTTAGATATAGGAAAAACAAGAAAGGGTTTGCTTTACAGTCTGTAAAAGGAATCTTTTCATTTTCAAAGATCTGAAAAATACCAGCACAAACCTGGCTGCCTCATGGTCGATGGCACCCGTCAGCTGACTTTCCTCTGGAGCACCTTCTTGCTGGAGAGACTGTTCTTCTGTGGCATCTCTGGGGCTACATTTCACCTTTAGCCATGCAGCACTGCACAGAATGGAAAAGTATACCTCTGTAATCATTCCACATCTGATGACTCATCCAAAGGTCCCAGCTCAGAGGAGACCAGAGCATTAAAGTCTTGGTGATCTACAGCATGGAGCACCCTAAAATAGGAGACTGAAGGTGAAGAACAGGAAGATCCTCAAGCAGTCAGATCCAGTGTCAAAGGGGGAAAGTTCCCTTCACTTCAAAGAAGCAGTTACTACTTTAAATGGAAAAACAATTATAACTACAGAATACAGGGTGAACGTCAACAATATGTAGGTTTTAATATGTAGCCAGTACTATTCCCTATTACATTCCTACATGATTCTCTCTAAGGTCCAACTCAGCACTGTGAGCATAGCAGCCTTACTGGCTCTCCTCCTCCACTGCTACATATATACACTCCCTAAGGTAGCCATAGTGTATTGGTTCCCAATACCAATTTCAACCCATTTATGTTTTTATGAGCTTACTAACTGAACTCATATCTCTGTATTCACACTTATATATATATGAATACAGGAATCAGAACAGAGTAATTAAAAGCAGCACATGAAATCAGAGACCTGATTTTAGTCCTAAGTCTGTTACACAAGTGAGAATACTTCATTCTCTCAACATGGCTTCTTTCACCTCACAATGAAGGCTGATGGCTAAGCACTGCCACTAAGTCAGAACCACTGAAATCTCTTGCCAGGCTGCTCACTTTTCTGATGGCCTCCTTGAAGGTACATCCTCTAGTCACCAACCTTCTCCCTTGTTCTCCTTGCATTACTGGTTTTTGCTTCCTTCTGTGTATTATTCTACCTCCTGTCCTTTCCAATGTGTTATCAAGAACCACTGAACCATGGCAAACAAGCTCCTCTTTATCTCTAATTAATTTCCCCAAAGACTGTTTCCTAACTGGGCCCTGCTCCTGCCAGAGGACAATACCTTTCCTTCAGTCCGGTGGAATAACAGACAGCTCCTCACTCTCCATGTGCTATGAATGTGGGTGACAAGACATTAATGCCAGCATTTTCCAAACTGTTCCCTGAAGTTTGGACATCACCAATGGGTTACTTTTAAATGTCTCCTCATTCAGCAAAGATTTAATGGGTGCCTATTATGTGCCAGGCAATGGGCATTGAAATACAAAAAAGACACATCCTCAAGAAACCATAATCTGTTGGGAGAAAAGACAAGGGAAGCCCATGATCTTCCCTACAGTGACACATATCCACTAGGTATCAGAGTGTTCCTTGGGAGACCAGGTCACTCCAACCATAGCCAGGTAGAAAAAGGTAACCAACAGGCTCTAAACAAAAACTTCTCATGTATGCCTTACCCATAAAAGCACTATTATTATTATTATTATTTCTTCTACTACTATTTCTAAGCATTATTTCTTAACAAGTATTCTGCTTTTTCATTTTTCCTCCCCTTCTTTCCCTCTCCCTCCTTGGGAGACCAGGTCACTCCAACCATAGCCAGGTAGAAAAAGGTAACCAACAGGCTCTAAACAAAAACTTCTCATGTATGCCTTACCCATAAAAGCACTATTATTATTATTATTATTTCTTCTACTACTATTTCTAAGCATTATTTCTTAACAAGTATTCTGCTTTTTCATTTTTCCTCCCCTTCTTTCCCTCTCCCCTATAAATCCAGAGCTTTCACAGTGAAGTACATACCAACACTTTTTTTAAATTTTGAGACAGGGGTCTTGCTAAGTTGCTAAGTTGCCCAGGCTAGACTTGGACTCAACAGCCTCCTGTCTCAACCTTCCAGAGCACTCAGATTACAAACGTGTACCACCATGCCTGGCTAACATTTCTTCTTAATGGGAAGAATTAAAGCTTCTGTTCCAACCCATGGAGGATAAATACACTCCTATACCCCATGGTCCCCTGAGTCTGTACATACCATTTAGGAGATGCTGGTGGGGAGGTGGGGTTTGAGGGTAACCACGGAGCCCTATGGTCTCTCATAGGCTGTCGGTTCACTTTTAATCTGGATGAAACTGTCATCTGATGCAACCTGTTCTTGCTGTGAGATTGGCTTGCTCTACTTCTTTCAGTTTTGTGAAGTCCCTGCAAGAGGTAAATATGAATTACATCGCCAAACAAATATCAAAAACACTCTGGTTTCAACCTGACTCACTAAAGTGCCCAGTGCTTCTCTGTTAGGGACTCAGAGAAGAGTATAAATTACATTGAAGCAACTCTGGTGGTAGTGTTGGAGGAAGAGAACTCAAATGCCTGGCTCTGCCATCTTTTTATATACATAAACAGTATTCTTATTTATTTATAGAATTTTTCCTAATTAAAACTTTCAATTTTAAATTCTATATTGTTTAAAGGGAAGTTATAAAACATTCAGTTAAACGATTTAAACTTTTTGAGCCCTGGGTCTAAAAGGTATGAATCAAGCTATTTTTTTGTTTGTTTGTTTTTTTGGTGCTGGGGATTGGACTCGGGCCCTTATGCTTGCAAGGCAAGCTAAATCCCCAGCCCTGAATTAAACTATTTTAACATGCCACAAAGCATCAGGCTCTGTCTCTGGAGAACATCAGACTGAATTCTTACAGGCTCAATCCTGACTTCTCTGCGAGCCCCATTAGAGATTTTTTTGGGGAAAGAAAAAGATTTGACCTTAACCATGACACATCAGTAACTGGTGATAACTGCTAGACCTCCCTCCTCTGAGGCCATCTGACAAATACATAGGTTTGCTACAGAAACCTTCAGACAGCACTGTCGAGTGGCAATCGCTACAATATAGCTATTCAGAGTAGGAGGTGCTTGACTGGCCAGTTTTGCACTGTAGTACTTTAAGGAAGGTTCAAATGAAGTCTAAAATCTGACATAGTTTCAAACCAAGTTCTAACTATCCAGCTGACTTCCACAGATATATTAAAAAGCACTTATCCAAGATGCTCTTTAATATTCAGTGATTTTTGTTTTGTTTTGAGAGCCGGTCTCACTCTGTAATTTAGGTTGGTCTTGAACTTACTATGTAGCCCAGGCTGGCCTTGAAGTTACGGCAATCCTCCTGCCTTAGCCTCCCAAGTGCTGGGATTATAGGCCTGCACCACCACACCCTATTCAGTGATTATTAATGAACAATATTTATCTTTTTGCAGCAACCAATCTTAAATCCTCTTAAATCTCATACTTTCAAATCAGTAGCAGAAAAACCCCTGAGTTTTAAATAGCCTTCTCAATGAGGACCTCAGTATCAAATTAGTTAAGATCTTACTGAACTAGGACAAGGGAAATGCTCTATCCTATTAATAATACTGAAAAATTTTTTTTGGTTGAAATATAAAAGCGATCTGGAGCTAAGTTAAATCAGCTTAGATTACTGGGCTCAAGGGCTCTGGCACCCAACTGCCTGAGAAATAAAATGTTGGCTCCACCAACTACCTAATATGGCATTGGACATCAGATTAATATAAATGGGCTGACAGAAAGAAATGATTTCATACTTGCTGTAGTCTTGCTGGCTCCAGAGCATCTTTCTTTCTAAATGGCACACTTTCCATCTTAGGTTTCTTCTTCATTGCTCCTGTTTTTGCCAGGACTAATGCCTCATCTTTGAAGTTTACAGTTTGGTCTGGAATAAGTGGGGCTTCTTCTGGAAGGACATCCACATCTAATGCATCAAGCTCACTCTCCAACCTCTGGGTCACTGGAATCTCTGCATCAGGCTGACGCTTATCTACATGGAGATTTTGTAAGGATAAAATGAGAGAAATACTACTCAAACCACGCCGGTGGGAATGGGTATCAATCGAACTTGCTGCTCCTCTTCTGAATTCTATTAGTTTTAGAAGCAGAAATCTAAGTATTATGGTTGATTCCCTGAATCCTAAGCCTCACATTTATTCATTTTCTGGTCTCTGTGATCCAACTCTACCTCTGCACTTCCTTTCTGCTACTACCCAAGCTCAGCCCTACAGTGTACTTTGGCTATAATAAGAGCATTCCCTGATACCTTGCTTATCTTTGGTCACGCTTTCACTTAAAATGCAAATATTTAAGTGCTGCTTCTCTACTCAGTATCTTTAATAGCCCATAATCTGAAACAGAATAAAGTCTGAACACCACTCACAACATTTAATATACAAAGGGAAAAGAATTACAACTGTCTTTATTTAAAAAGCAGATATAAGTCAATATAAGAAGTTCAACAGAATATGAATACAAACTCAGTACAATTGAGAAGAAGTTTCATCAAGGTTTCTAAATATAAGATGAACACTACAAAAACAGTATCATCCCTACAAATCAAAATAACTAATTAGTCTTATAAGAAAAAAAATCCCATTTACACTGGCAACAAAAACTGAGGTACTTAGGAAGAAATCTAATGAAAGATGTGTAAGACTTTTACAGAAAAGAAATGAAAAGGTATTTTCAAGGACAGGAAAGAAAATCTGAATAAAATGTCTTCACAAATGAACAGACTATATTGTAAAGATATCAATTCTCCACAAAGTGATCTATAATTTCAAGTGCATATTCAATTAAAGCTGATTTTGATGGATCTAAACAAGTTGATTCTAAAATTCATATGAAGACTGAAACCCCAGAATTGACCAAATAATTCTGAAGAACAACAATACAGTAGGGAATGGGGTAAGTCTTTCTCTACCAAAGATAAGGCCTTAGAGACAGACCTCTGGAATAATGAAGGCATGTGAGCACAATGTAGGAATAAGCAGAAACCAACAGAATATGATGGACATGACAGATCAGACAGTAACAGCTGGGTTGTGCAAAAAACACTAGCACTCACAAGTAAAAATAAAACTGGAGAGAACAACACTTAAATTCCAAATGGAATGAAGACCTAAGTGTGGAAAGAACATGTTAACACTTTAAGAAGAAAATATGAGAGAATATTATTATGACACCAGGGGAGAAAAGACTCTTAAAATACAATACGGACATAACTGAATTTAATTACACTAAACTACAGCATCCCTTTGACAAATGGATACCACACAGTCAACAAATAACTCAAAATCTAAAAGGGAATCTGTAATGCATATAATTAACACAGTATTAGTATCTAATGATATAAAATACTTCTGAAAATCTCTAAGAAAAAGAATCACACAGAAAAATAGGCAAAGGACAAAAACTAGCAATAGACAGAAAATATGATTTGTCAAAAAATATAAAAAGATGATGCACTTCACTAATAATCAGAAAATTCAGGCAATAAGATACCATTTCATATCCATCAGAGTGGGGAAGCTAAGTATAACAATACCAAGTTTAAACAAGGAAGTGGAAAAACAAAAACTCTCATAAACTACCAGTGTAGGAATAAACTGGCTCAACTACTGCGGAAAACAACTTGTTGCTCTAGCTGAATATGTGCACCCACTACATTTCAACAATTATGTCAGTAGGTATCTGCTCAGCCTAGAGGAACTCTCACGTGTATACATAGATAGGGAGTGGCACGGCTATCCACTTCACTCTGTCATTGTTTATAAAAGCAAATCCTTTGCTAGTGCAACAGCCAGTCATTTTAGCTACTTGAGAGGCAGAAGCAAGATCTCCTGAGCCCAGGAATTCAGGGCCAGTCTAAGCAACACAGTGAGATCCCATCTCATCAAAACAACAAGTGGTAGCCACCCAAATGACCAATGATAAATAATAAGAACTGAAAAATAAACTGTAAAAAATAAATAAATAAATAAACTGTGGTATATTCATACAAGGGAAACCTATACAATTAACTTTAAAAAATTAAAATTCACTTTCAACATAAATAAATCCTACAAACAAGTGGGGTGAAGCAAACTGCAGAATGACATATATGTAAAATAGCATGTGTATAAAGCAATAGTTTATATTCTTTATGGACAAATACATAAGTAGTACAAATCTAAAAATAGAACAGGTTTCTAAATACTAACAGTAACCTCCAGAGAGCAGAAGGAGGAGAATGGGATGAGGACAAAAATATTACAGAGACTTCAACTGTACTGGTCATATTTTATTTCTGAAAACAAATTTATAAAGTAAATGTTTAAATGTGCATTGGAGATACCCAGTGCTTACCATTTTCATACTCTGTTTAGAATATTTAATATCCAAAGGAAAACTACATTCAGACTTCTTTAACAACAGTAAGTTGAGCCTCAAATTCTCTGCATCACTTCTTTAATCAGATGCTTTTCAAAACTACACAAATTACACAGCAAGGGAATATAAATCAGAAGAATGCTAAAATTGAATCACTAGTCTGTAATCTATTTATGAACTCCCAAGTTGACATACATCAAATCAATTCTGACCTGTAGGTCCTAATATTATAGGCAGCTAAGTTAGACAGAAATAAATACATAGGGTTGGGGAGCTACAGCTCAGCAGTGCTGTGCCTGCCTGGTAAGCGTGAGGTCCTAAGTTTGATTCCTGGTACTGAAAAATACATACACATATATATACATACATACATACATACATACATACATACATACATACATACATACAGGAGGACTGGGCTCTCAAGGAAGAGAGTTTGATTCCTGGTACTGAAAAATACATACATACACATATATATACATACATACATACATACATACATACATACATACATACAGGAGGACTGGGCTCTCAAGGAAGTCAGCAGAAAAAATAAAGACATCAGAATTGTGGCTGTGGTGCATCTGAAGAAGGCCAGGCCCAAGATAAAGATGCAATGGCCAGGCCTACAATGCTTCTCTAAGGGATAAATAGTTAACTTGAGATTACATGGTAATTAGCACCACTTAGGTCCATTAAGTCCAGACCCACCTGGGTGACCACAACATCTAGACCCATTCCTTTCTAAAAATGTTACTGTTTCAGAAGTCATAGATAAGCCAAGGTTAATGATGCCAGCTGAATACCATTGCTATGTCACTCATTTCCTATTGCATCAATATTAGTTAAGGAGCTATACTTGTAATCCTATAGGTCAATGGTAGTTTGACCCACATTATACCTACAATGTGACTTTGCTGTATAAATTACCCCTGACAAAGGGCCTCAGTGGCAACCCACTTTAAGGACCCCTCCTGTCTCTCTGAGTTTCTCAATAAACTTTTCCTACTTGTAATCTCCATTGTCCCTTGAAATTCATTCTTTGATTTCATGGGACAGGAACTCAGCACATATGACATCTAATAGGTTAAGAGTCGTATCTCCTTTATGATCACTAACACTCTTCAGCTATGTTCTGCATAAATTAGCATGCAGATGCAGTACAAATTTCAGGGACAGCAGTCTGAAGACTCTGCTAGTGGTGGGGAGGGAGCCACAATCCTTATAGCTGACAAGTTATACTAATGTAATCAAGCATTGCAAGAATATTTCAGAAGCCACTAAAAAAACTGCACCAGCCAAAAATTATGTAAATCACAGACAGATGATTCAATCAGGCTCAATCATATATCCCAAATGATGAGGGTGCACAGAGTTTTCTATCCATGTGGCTCCCCATGACATTTTTTTAGGGACCAGGTGGGGAGGAAGAAACATTAAGAAATCAGATTTTAAAATTAGGTAAAGTGATATCTAAAATAGAAACAGAAAAATGTGACCTGGAATATACATCATAAGGACAAAAAAGGTTACCACATTCTTTCCCATGAGTACATGTATTAAATTTGCAAATTAGTTAACTGCAACCACACCTCAATTTATAATGATGATTATCATCCCTCACATCTTGTACAATGCTTTTTCTTTCGTTTTTTGAGGCAGGGTGTTGGTAGTGGTTCAGGCTGGCCTTGAGCTCACTATGTAGCCCAGGCTGGCCTTGAACTCTAGTGCTGGGATTACAGGCATGTGCCACCACACCCAGCTATTGCTTTTCCCATTTATAATGTAATTCACAATTACCATTTCGTTTGAGCTTCTCCATGACACATTCCGAAGCAGGCACTACTACATTTACAGGTGCAAAAAAAGAGTTAAGTGCTTTGTGGAAAGTCACAAGTAAGTGGTAGAGCCATGTCTTTTGACTCTCGGTTCTGGGTTAGACCCCATTCATCCTGTCCTGTCAAGGATTTCAAAGGTATTCTACATATACATTTTCCAGAGAAATAAAGATTCCTTCTCCCTGACCACGTAAAATTCATTTATGTTTTCCTACTTGGAATATCCTTAACATAATGTAGCCTTTTTCATTAATTTGGGGCATTAATAGGAACTAAAAGTAACATCTTACATTTTCAGAGCATTTAAAATTATCCAATTTGCTACTTACAGTAACTAAATCACACAGGCCAGACTACTGTCTCCATTTTATAGATGAAAAACATAAGGTTCAGACTGATTAAGTCAGAGTAACTTCTTAATCACAAACCTGGCAGTGTTAGTCCTAGACTGGGGTCTTACTCAAATTTTCTCTATTTGGCTTTCCTACATTTGCTTCTATGATGAGTTTTAGATTAGCAGGTTTCCCAACTTCTCTCCAAAGCTGGTCCTCACTGTTCACTCATCAGCTGATCAGCATCTCTAATCTTGTAACTCATTTAGGAAAACACATCTACATGTAAAGGCAGGCCTGGAATGTTCTCTGCACTTCCTCCAAGGCATCACAAGTAAGCTCCCCAGCACCCAGTACTCAAGTTACTCAGTAATCAGCTGCTCAGAAGTCTTCTTACTGAATCACCCTTCTTCATACAGTCTTTCAACAAACACTTAAGTGCTTAA